AACTATTTCCAGCAATCAACTGAATCCTCAATAGTTATATATTTGAATTTAGTCATTTGAAACGGGACAAAGCTTTCTAAATTTATACACCGCTGGACTGGAAGTACTTTATTGTTGAGAGAAGCGATTTAGGTTTACTGCTACTGCTAGTAATGTTAGTTTTGATCTCAGTTTTTGTTGTTTTTCGCGCCTACATCGTTTTGTTTGTCCGGACGTTCAACGTAATTGGCGTGGCAGTAATGACTAGAATATTTTCGAAAGTTTAAGACACAATTTAAGCCATATATAAAAAGTGAGTTATGCTTAATTTGGGGAGGGGGAGAGAATTAACAAGAGCATGAATTAGTCAGTTTGTCTGTTACTTCAGCCAGTTAGTCAATTAGATAGTTCAGTGTTGTAAATAATGAGTTTGTTTCGACATGTTATTACAGATACGATAAAGTGCCGTACATGCGAGAAAATTAAGATGTGAAAATACTTGTTTAAACGTCTAATGTAAAGTTAGGTCTGCCGGAACTTGAATTTCAAGAAACAAAGTATTATCTCCGTTAAGTTTTTCTTTGTTGTTGTTGTTTTCTCTAAAGAATAACCTAAAAGAACCCACCCAACTACAGAAACAGTTATAACACGGGTGTAAATAGTAGTATTATCTTAGCAAAAATAAAATAAAAGGTCAGGCCAAATTACAAGACGATGACATGTGACCGAAGCGAGAATGAAAATTTAACTGAAATTAAGAAACAGTGGAAAGAAGATCAATAAAAATGTTCTGTTGTGCCAACTTTAGGACCTTCCTGAAGTACTACAGGTACACTAGCAACTTCCAAAGTTAAGCAATTTAGCGGGCAAGATCAACAGCATCACCCAATCAATAAGCCTAACAACGAGTAACCTTAAGTTCTATATTTACATAAAATGATAAATGTCACAATTCGACTTCTATACGTCTATAAACTTATCTTGTCATTTATTTTTGAATACTCTGCATTTTAATCAAAGTGACAATACTTTTAAGTTTTTTATCATAGTTGGAGATTTATTGATCAATAAATATAAAAGATAAATAAAAAATTGTGGAATTTAAAAACCTGCAAATAAGGATCGTAAAAAAAAAGTATGGAAACAAGACTGGAGATACTGTAGACATTATTTACTCAAACTACAAACCCATATTCTGGCTCCATGCTGTTACCTAAAGTTACACTTGGTGGAGTTAAACAGGGATTTGTAGTTTGAATAAATAATGTCTACAGTATCTCCAGTTTTTAAATTCCCAATTTGTTATTTATCTTGTTTGCTGCCTTTTTTTATTCTCAGTTATGGGCAAAGTATTACTTGATTTGGTAGCTAGATTTACACATTTTAATGATAATAAACATCGCTAGTAGCTTGCTGATATAGTTCATGATGATTTACTGTAGCTATTGACTATTTGATCACATTAGTTCAAAATGTAAAATGTTGAGCTGCAGCTGAAGATTGTCATGGATATATTTTTGAGACTATAGTGAGCACTTATTGCTCCTATGTAATTAAATTCTCTATTTATAATACATAGCATTGAGCAAATATGTGCCTAGACAAAGATACAACCCCCACCAAGTGCTTATAATATTTTAGAAGAAGGAAATTCTAAAACATCGCTTTAAATAAACCATCATGTCTTTTAAAGTAATTATTCTATGAATGTGTGTAATATGATTTAATATTATGTGTATTTATTATTTTACTGTTCACTTCATACATCATACAGGGGTTGGCTCCCTAAAGATACCGATTGTATAGTGTACAAAGCATTGAGTATATACATGCTACAATAATCTAGTGTTCATCTGTTATTGGCTGGTTATTCCTGTTTCACCCTGTACTTAAGTTTTTATAGGATCATCAGATATTTGTAAGAAAGCTAACATCAAGGGGTAATGATAACATCACTTCCACTAGCATTATGATGTTTTTTAGCTTATCTACATAAATAAACGTCAATATGTGTGTGTGTGTCTGTATATGTTCTTTATACGTTTCTATATTTCTTGATCACTCAGCACCAAACTTTACACATTGATAGAGGTTATGAGGAAGGAATTGTGGGTTTGGACCCCCCCATCTAATTTCATATTTAATTTTGGAAAACTATCAATGTTATATATTCCTCAGCATTAGAATGAACTATGTAATCACTATTGCTAGAATTCTTTAAAACAGTATGTCTTTTATTTCAGTATTGGTAACTGTATTTTTATTGCACTTTCAATGTTTATTATGTTAAGAAGAAAAAATAGAAGCACACTTTCCTATCCTTTGTTAGAAACGAGTTTTTATTTCTTCTGTCCAACGATCGGGTACTATAACTAGTGTCAAATATAGAAGAAACAAATCGTCTTTTCGATAGCCCTTCACAGTACTTTGTTTGATATTCTACAAATGGTTAGGGTGAAATATACCAAGCCGTTTTTGTTGTAGGTAGCAAAGAGAATATTGATAATATGAAAAATTACAAACGGGACGTTTTGACCAGATTTTCTTTTCCTTATAGAGTCTAACATGCATGCTTTTTTGCGCTTTGTTATATGTACAGCCTTAATAATAATAAAGGTTTTAAATTGTTGTTTAAACTAAATCTTTACTGTTTAAGGTGCTTTTTGCCCGAACGTTCTGTTAAGATTTTGTACAATTCCATGTGATCCATGATAACCGAAATTTGATCCTTTTCAAGTAAAAACCTATGAAATTCAAAATTTCTACACGTTTTCCACATTATAAAACAAAGATTGTCTTTACACGTTTACTGTATTTTTACTCTCTTTTTAAAGACGAAGAGCAAAATTGTTTCGTATATATTAATAATGAAATATGTATTATTTAGTACTTCCTAAGGCTATGTGTACATCCCAAATTATGTACATGCGTATATACACATACATACATTATATATATATACATACAGAGAGAGGGAGAGAAACACACACATATGGATAAGTGTTAAGTAATGGTAATTAAGAACGTTTTTAAAATAGCACTTTGTACCATACATTGAACTCTACATATAGTTCAGTGGTACTATACCAGTTTAATGTAGCACACCCTAAAACAATAGGCTGAGGGGGGTACACTTCACTTTCACAGCTGAAGGAGTGTGTGAATTTACTTGTTTCTCAATCGTGTGTACAAATGTATTTTTAATTTGTTAATCGACATCATGACGTGGAAATGAAGCGTAAAAACATGGTACATTACACAGCTTATCCTGCTTTGTTAACCATTCAAGTTATTGACTATTTTTCAGAACATATAGTTACTTTGTAATATAGTTTAACGTCTTTTAAGTTTATAAGTTACTAGTTTGAGCCTGAAAGTAAATGTAGACTCGTACACATGGTTAGGTTTAACCATTCCCTAATGTGTTAAACTCTAAACACCACAATTCTCTATTAATGACGCACTTCTGGTGACCTTATAAACAAAGGGTTATAAACAATACCCAGTTCTGTTGATTTTTTAAACTCAAGCTTTCGACTGTTTTCCAAAAGTTTACATCAAGCAAATGGATTTGTGTATGATTTCGGATGTTCGCTCAAAGCTATATAAAGGCTATCTACGCTAGAGTTCCCTAATTTTGAACTGACTAGAGGAAAGGAGGCTAGTCTACAGCACCCATAGCAAACTCTTTAGGGTAACTCTGAGTAAAAGTATTTTACTCTTATAACACACCCACGTGCGGAAATAATCATGTACCCTTAGATCCACATCAGCCCATGCCGTAAATGATGGAAAACTAAAAGTACTATAAATAACCATGTACCCTTAGATCCACAGAGTGGCACATTAACCATCAGCCCATGCCGTAAATGATGGAAAACTAAAAGTACTATAAATAATCATGTACCCTTAGATCCACAGAGTGGCACATTAACCATCAGCCCATGCCGTAAATGATGGAAAACTAAAAGTACTATAAATAATCATGTACCCTTGGATCCACATCAGCCCATGCCGTAAATGATGGAAAACTAAAAGTACTATAAACTCAAATTACAGTTCAAGAAATAATAATAAACAAATTCAAACCACCATAGCTATAATTTATAAATATTTATGACGTCACTAAAGCATTGAATGTGGTATTGTAAGATCATTTTATCTATATTTGTAATCGAAAGTCAATTTACAAAGATGTTTTAAGAAACGATTACAATACCAGTTACAAATCGCTTTCTTTTCCCGTTTTTGGGACGAATATAATTTTCTAGACTAAGTGTAAATATTCGTATATAAACAATCTGTAATTTTTCAACGTGACAAACCGGAAACATTAATGTGGCAAACCGGAAACATTAATGTAGGAGAAAACATGGACTGAACTCTTTAAATTTCGTAGACCAAGAAGTAACCATAAATAATAATTTTAAACTGGCATGGCACTTCTATATCGGTTACTGACTGCACGTGACAATACTACTTTAACTATAAACTTTATAACTTAACATTTATTCCGAGTATATTCTAGTCACACAGATTAATATTATTATTTTATATAACTTAATTACAATTGTATATAATCCAAAGGTGGCGTGGTAAACTGTGGAACTTAGAATTAGGCTACTTACACCGAGAAGAATACTTCCTCATATTTACGTTTAAGGTAATGAAAATTGTGATATATACATACATACATATCATCATATGAACTTACCTGTTTTAACTCGACTGTCTTAAATTATTTAATAATAATAATATCGAAATCGATTATTTTAGAAATATAACTGGGCGCCTGTTCAAATTAATTAATTATTTATAAATAACACGTAAATCATGTTGCTAAACTAAGTTAACACATTTTACTAACAATATTTAACATTTACCATAACGTTCTAAAAATTTGAAGTTATTACAAAAAATAATACATAAAACTTATCATTTTCTTTGTCAAGGTTTTTGTTAAAATATAACAGTAACACTCGACCTAGCCCTATACAAATACCAGTCTACAAACCACACACTTTACGGGCTTTTCTCCACGCTACCACGTGATATAAACTTGGCAATGATGAGAAGGTCAGAACCTACCACAAGCCGTAGTGAAGAAGTCTGATGAAATCCGCCTGAAGTTAATAAGACCAAATCCTTACTTTATAACATAAGTGAACCGTTTAATTATTATTATTATTTTTTATACATGATTACATTTATGTGTATATACGTATCATGCAAATAAAAACTTTAGGTAATTAAGCACAGACAGTACCCATTCCTTTCTTTATTGTTTTACAATTACAGCGAAATAAGCATCTCGAACCCTACACAAAAAAACTCACTTTTACGCATGCGCGAAACTATTATTAATGAGACGCAAAGCCTGCCTCACATTCAAATATTTTTCTAACTCAGTCTTTTACTTTTGTTTTTTAATACCTTTAAATAATAATTGATTTTCCAATATAACTATCAGCTGTGTTCTTCATGCCGATGTTAGTTTAAATAATAATTTGTTTACATTGTTTTTACGAACCGTTTATGTATTTATCATTCCCTATTATCGGCACGTAGTTTTTCTTAGTAATTCTAGATATGCTAATATTGTTCTTTACACGCGATTGGAAGTTTCCACCACAGCTTTGTACAAGTAACTTTCCAATTTCAAAACCAGCAAATAACATTTCAAGTAAAAAAACAAAAAAAAACATTTAAATTACCAGTAATTAAATATATTTGACTTCTACTACGAAGAAATGAATATTTCGCATTCTAAACTTTATGAACTTTATTTGATCTAGCATACACAAGGTTTTAAAAACGTTGCAACAGTTAACAATATTATTATTAAATTTCAAGCGGTTAACATGCTATACGTTTTACTGTTTGGAAGTATGTTACCTGTTTCTTATTCCTTTATCAAAATTGGGAATCAAAAACAGACAAAAAATTTAATATCGCCTTTTTTTTTTCTAATATAATTTCTTTTAATAAAAAAATGATTTGGAAGCCACTTCTCTTATTGCATCTTATCACGATATGAAAGTCAAGAATTACACCGATTTTCGTTCACTTTCAAAGAGTACTACTATTACTTACGTAACAAACCTTTCAACTCTAACCTACACCTGTTTATTCACAGGGCCGCGCTGGCGGGAGGGGGAAGTTTCCCTCAAATGTTGCCCTCCAAGCTTATACATTCCATTAAGAAAATTAAGATGTATTTTATATTTAGCCCAATTATATACCTAATGTCCCCCACAGACACACACACTTAAGAAAAGCTAGAGCCGGGACCAGCTTATTTATATTTTGATATTTGTGACTCCAAATGACCATGATGCTACAGGTACGACAACAGAAGTCACGTGACGCTAGTAGCACGTCATGATATTCTGGAAGGATCATGTCTGTTCGTGGCAACTCTGGTTTTTTCTACGCGCCCTCTATTCTTGTATATAAGTGCGCCAGATAAAGCGAAATTAATTAATCAAAACAGAATTGCAGAAAGACAGAGACCGATAATTGAGTCAAGCGCGGTAGTGACTGTAAGTTAAGTGTGTGAATCGTTGTAAATTATTGCGTGTGTCAAAGTGAAAGTTACTGTGGAAATTACGTGTATTGCAAAGTTGAATTGAGAAAGAATAAACTAGTTTTATTTAAGAAAACACTTGTATCGCTGAAGTTTCTCGGAAAGAATTTCTACGAAAAATCAACAAAAGAACACAGATGTAACACTACGTTACAACTTCCACCAGACATTTTCCTAAAGTAATTGTATAGCTGCTTCGTGCGAGTACACGCTAGCAAAGCTAAAGATATGGCTGAAGCAAGCCTAATTAGTTGAGGGAGTGTGCGCGCACCTGCTCGAGAGAAAGCACCATCCTTTTTCAGTTAAGTAAAGTATAAAAGTATTTCAAATGTCCCAAAACTCGAGCACTTTTGAATGGTTAAATTATTCTTGAGAAGCAGACATCTAAATATTTTTTCACATTAATTAAATCATCATATAAAGGTACTATCAGAGTAAGTAATATTCACAGTTTATAGACGATCTAAGGTTTCTGTTAAAAAACGTTTTTACAATGTAGAAAAGGTGTAAAGCTATTCTAAGATCCAACGAGCGAAAATCAAGAAGAGTATTTCATAATATGTCAACCATACTACAACTGCCATATCTGGTGTTGATGAGGCCTTTCTTTCAATACCAGAGCTAATCATTACATCTGAGATAAGACAGATGTAATAATGGTCTAGGCACCATATACATCATAAGTACCGTAGTACTTATAGTAGGAATGGACCAGATGTGCAATACAAGTTAAAATCTCAAACACACTGCAAACAGCATGTACAGTATCTTACAAAAGTATCCACCCACCTTGCAAAGTTTCCACATTTTGTTTCCATCTGACCTTGCAATCATGAAACTTTTAAATCGGACTTTATATTTAGAAGCTACACAACCTACTCCAAACTGAGAAAGATGAAAAACGCTGATATTATGTAAATAAATTAGATTTTTAAAGAAAATTAGAATATTCTCAATTGCATAAGTATTCAACCCTTTGCTACAGCAACCCTAAATTAGTTCAAATGTAAAATGTTAGTTTGAAAGGCCACAAAATTAGCGTAATAGTCTCTGTCTGTATGTAATCAAAGTGGTTTAACTTGACTTCAGAGTAAATGCATCTGTTTAAGCCACATAGTGATACGACAAACCAACCGAGAAGACCAAGGAGCTTTCCAAATAACTCAGGGATAAAGTTGTAGAGAAGCACAGATCAGGAAAAGCCAGGAAATGTCGAGAGATAGTTCTAAGAAAAGCTACGAGAAGAATAGTCCTAGATCCCAGTCATTCTTGATACTTAGTACCGGAAAAAGCTATGAAACAAGTGTAAAGATTTTTAAATAAAAAAAAAATTAGGAAGTAGGGATGGTAGCACCAAAAAGTAAGGAAACAAGGTAGGAATGGGCGAGGTTAACATTACAACATTTAGTGGTTTTTGGCACTGGTACAACCTCAAAGGGGGTGTGGCCATCGTTCCGCCCATTCTTACTCCGTGTTTTACTTTGAACTTTGATCCAATTATAGGCTTGAATTGGACTTAACAGTAGCTAATCCTTTTTAAATTCTCAATAAACTTTGAAATTCCAAAAATCGGCAGTTACGATACTATTCTTTTGGCTCATAATGTCTCCTATAAACAAAGTATGACTATTGGAGCTTCTTGTCTCACTTCCGACATCAACCCCCTTCCCTATGATGTCATGCATTTCGTTAGGGTCGCATAATTTGATTGTATACATGTATCTGTACTTTGTTGCTGAAACAAAGTTTAAAACAGAGAAATTTAGCTATATACATCTTACATTTAGTTCGAACAATTATAAAGTTACAAAAAGCAAACAAAGTAGGAATGGGCGGAACGATAGCCAAACCACTTTGAAATTGCACCATGTCAAAAACCACCAAGTATTGTAATGTTACCCGCCCATTTCTACATTGTTTCCTTAATTTTTTGGTGCTCCCATTTCTTCCTATTTTTTTTATTCAAAATGTTTTACACTCGTACGTATATAATCACTTGGAGTTTCTGTGACTAGAGAGTAACATGTATGTTTAATGGTATATTTATCTTCAGATACATTACAAAGTATTTTAATTGCTCGCAGTTTTAACGTTTTTAAGTTACTAACCTTTTCTTAGACTGTATATTTCTAAACTTTATCTTAAGACAAATTCCTAGTGAAAAAGTATGATGTGAACAGAAAATTAATGCAAGTGACGTTACAAGAACTAAGATACCTAAATATGAAAGATTTTCTGCTGTAGGAATGGTATAGGATGTGCATATAATATTCTCACTTTCTATTACGTTGCTTTTTATACATACATGCAATGTGATGATAGTTATTATATGTATTGCATAAAGCGTGAGGTAAAATGTTTTGTATATAACAAAAAGTTAGAAATTGATGAAAGTTAATCGTTCAAATCCTTTAATTTCTAGTTTAGTTATTCGTTGGTTGTTTATGAATAACTGTTGCTCATATGTTGTTTGATTGTTTGTCTGTGTGAGTATTCACAGCCTTCGTTTGTTGTTTGTGTATAATTGTTGATCATATAAAGTTGAAGTGACGTGTTGTTTGATTGTTTGTCTGTGTGAGTATTCACAGCCTTCGTTGGTTGTTTGTGTATAATTGTTGAATTGACTGTTGTTTGATTGATTGTCTGTGTGAGTATTCACAGGCTTTGTTGGTTGTTTGTGTATAATTGTTGATCATATAAGGTTTAAGTGTTGTTGATTCATTGTCTGTGTGAGTATTCAGAGTCTTCATTGGTTGTTTGTGTATAATTGTTGGTCATATAAAGTTGAAGTGACGTGTTGTTTGATTGACTGTCTGTGTGAGTATTCACAGTCTTCGTTGGTTGTTTGTGTATAATTTTTGATCATATAAAGTTGAAGTGACGTGTTGTTTGATTCATGGTCTGTATAAAAAACATTAATAGCTTTGTTGTAACCTTTCTCTTAAAATGAATTATAATTTATGCAAAGCCAATTTTGCAGTATTTTTAAAAACGTTTAAATGATGTAGTTTTCACCATTGTCTTTAATAGGAAGTTGAGAATGTATACTGTTACGACAGCGGAAGTCATGTGACGCTGGTAACACGTCATGAGTTTCTAGAAGGATCATGGCTGTTCCTGGCAACTCTAGTCTTTTTTAGACGCCCTCTATTTTAGTATATAAGCCCGACAAATAAAGCGGAGACATAATTGCAGATAGGGAGATATAGAGACAGATAATCGAGTCAAGTCGTAAGTAAAGTGCGTGAATCGTTGTGAATTATAGCGTTTGTTTAAGTTAAAGTGACTGTGGAAATTAAGTGTATTGCAAAGTTGTATTGAGAAAGAATAAACTAGTTTTATTTAAGAAAGGACTTGTATCGCTGAAGTTCCTCGGGAAGAATTTGTACGGGAAATTAACAAACGAACAGAGACGTAACAATACTTATAGTTAGAAGTAACAAGAAAAACAAAATAACTGGTCAGACAAAATGTCCACTAAAAGTTCATAGAATAATAATTCAAGATATTCGAAGGCTATTTGTTCTGCTCTCATCGTTTGCTTTAAATAATTTATATATAACGTTTCCTGCGTTAAAAATGGATCTTTGTAAAAACTTCCAAATTCGTATAAAGAAGATCTATTCGGTAGTTAATAAGGTGATTTGTTGTCAACTGTGAGGGAGAAGGCTGGTATAAACAATACTGTTGTAAAAAATGTTGTAGTTCTGTGT